TCTCTTCCTCTCGCTTTGCTTCAGTCTCTATTCCAGTCCAGACCTCTCTCCGACTTCTCCTCCTGGGTTTCCATGGGTCTCTCGAACAGAATGGCCACACTAGTGCCTGGCATCTTCAACCCAAGTTACCCAGATGGGAATCCAGCATCCTTGGGTTTGTTCCTTCCTCTTCCCCCTCAAAGCCAGTCCCTACTGCCTGGCCTAACGCAGGAGCCTACCTCACACTAATGCAGGATGCAGTGGCTACCAGCGTGGATTCAGGCACCAGCCTCCCTGTGTAGAATCCCAGCTCTACCCCTTACTGGCTGTGTGACCTTGGGGAAGTTACTTAACTTCCCTGTGCCTCAATAAGATGGGACTGTAACAGAAAGTCATAATAACCTCGATTATTGGGATTGGGGTGAGGTTTATTAAATGAGTTAATAGATGTCAAAATACAACGTATGGTGCCTGGACTATGGTGAGTGTAATAAAATTTTGTTATCATCATCATCATTATTTATTTTATAAATATTGTAGGATGCGTACCATGTGCTGGGCACTTTCCTAGGTATGAAGGGACATGGTTGTGAACAACAAAAATGATTCCTACCTCCGGGAACTTCACAGTCAAGATGGAAGCCTTTTCATAAAAGTTCTTGCTGCTGGATCCATACCCTACTCTTTCCCATCTTGAAGCAAAATGAAAACAAAAGCAAGCAAACCCTGGATGCTACATCTCCCTCCAGCTATTGCCCAAGCTTAATCTTCCACCAACCAGTATTTATTTGTTGCAACCTACTACATGCCAGGCACTGTGCTGGGCCCTGGAGAGTCAGCCTTAAACCAAAGGGACCCATCTCTGCCCTCAATGGGTTTATTGTCTGGTTGGGGACACGGACAATAAACAAAAACATCAACATACATAATATATACATGATATAATGTCCATGATATTAATAGATGCTGTAAAGTAAGAGAGAAAGACCACAGAGCTACTGTGGGGATTGGTGGCTATTTTGTTTTATTTTATTTTTAAAGATTTTATTTATTTATGGGACACCTGGGTGGCTCAGCAGTTAAGTGCCTCCTTCAGCCCAGGGTGTGATCCTGGAGTCCCGGGATCGAGTCCCATATCAGGCCCCCTGCATGGAGCCTGCTTCTCCCTCTGCCTGTGTCTCTGCCTCTCTCTCTGTGTCTCTCATGAATAAATAAATAAAATATATTTTTTAAGATTTTAAAGATTTTTTAAAAAATATTTTATTTATTTATTCATGAGACACACCCAGGTGCCCCTTGGTGGCTATTTTAGACAGGGGGTTAGGAGGGGCGTCTCTGAGGATGGCATATGTGAGCAAAGTCCAGAATGGAGTGAGGTATCTAAGAAGATGTGGAGGAAGAGGGGTCCAGGAAGGGGGAACAACAAATGTAAAGTCCCGTGATAGCAACAAACATGAACCCTGATGGAATGGCAGGAAGGCTCTAGTGGCTGAGTGACCAAGGCAGGGCCAGGGGCTAGCGCTTAGGGTGACCATGCACATCCCAATGCCTTTGGGCTGTCCCAGCATAGTCATTACTATTGCCTCCTTTCGCTCTCAGGGGCGCCCCAGGTTTAGATGACAAGTTATGTAGTCACCCTACATAGAGACTGCGGCTGGCAGTTGGCATTTTATTCTAAATGTGATGGCAAACCTATGGATGGTTTGGAGCAGGAAGTGACATGAGTTGACTGATATTTTAAATGATCATGACCAAGTACTTGAAACACTCTTCTGGCTGCTGTAACGCCCCCCTTGGGCCTCCTTCACCTCCCTGGCTGTTCCTTCTCAGTCTCCTCTGACACCTCTTTCTCTCCCACTCAACACCTAATGTTGGGGTTTCCCTAGGCCAGGGGTTTTCAGCCAGCAGTGGTTTCTCCTCTAGGGGAACATATAATCTAAGGACATTTTTAAGTGAGGCAAGTACTACTGGCATTCAGTGAGTAGAGAGGCCAAGGATGCTGCTGAATATCCTACAATGCACAGAACAGCCCCCACAGTAAAGAATCTTCCAACCCCACATGTGCTGAGGTTAAGAAACTGAACTAGATTAGCACTATTCAAAAGAAATACGAGAGTTGCATATACAAAAATTTTTCTAGTAGCCACATCAAAAAAAAGAAGTTAATTTTAACAATATTTTATTTAATCCAATATGTACAAAGTATTATCATCTTAACATGTTAATCAATATTAAGAATATCAATGAAGGGTGACTGGGTGGTTCAGTCAGCTAAGTGTCTGCCTTCAGCTCAGGTCATGATCACGGGGTTCTGGGATCGAGCCCCTCATCAGCCCCTCATTCTCCCTTTCTTTCTCTCTCTGCCTGCCCCTCCCTCTGCTTGTGTTCCCTCTGTCAAAATAATAAAATAAAATAAAATATATCAATAAGATTTCTTTCCTTTCTACCTTCCTTCTTCCCTTCCTTTTCTCTCTCTCTCTTTTTTTTAAATTTATTTATTTATGATAGTCACAGAGGGAGAGGCAGAGACACAGGCAGAGGGAGAAGCAGGCTCCATGCACCAGGAGCCCGACATGGGACTTGATCCCGGGTCTCCAGGATCACGCCCTGGGCCAAAGGCAGGTGCCAAGCCGCTGCGCCTCCCAGGGATCCCTCTCTCTCTCTCTCTTTCAATTCTGGTGTGACTTCACACTCGCTACACTCAGCAGTTTAGACCAGCCACATTTCAAGTGCTTAGTAGCTGTATATATCTCATGGCTCTGGTATTGATGGCATAGCTCTAGGCTCAGTACTGGGTAAGAGAGCCTAATGTTCAAGAGCTGTACAAGGTAATAAAGCCTAATGGTTTGGTTCTGGAACCCAATTGTCTTGTGGAATTCCAGGCCTTCCATTTAACTTCCTGTCCATTTTTAAAAAAAAAAAAATTATTTATTTATTTATTTATTTATTTATTTATTTATTTATTTATTTTAGAGAGAGAGAGAATACAAGCAGGAGTAGAGGCAGAGAGAGAGAGAGAGAGAGAGAGAGAGAGAGAGAATCTCAAGCAGACTCCCCACTGAGCATAGAGCCTGATGCAGGGGCTCTATCCCAGGACCCTGAGATCACAACCTGAGCCAAAATTAAGAATCAGATGCTCAGCAGCTGAGCCACCCAGGAGCCCCTATTCCTTGTCCATTTTAGGTAGAGTTACTCCACCTCTCAGTGTCTTCATTTCTCATTTGTAAGATGGGAATGATATAATATTACTACTTTATAGAGCTGTCCCGAATTAAATGAGTTAATACTTACAAAACATTTTCAGGGGTAATAAGCACCCACCTGTTAACTGTTTAGCTAGACCCCTCCTCTGTCTCCATCCACACTTACTCTCTGGGTAATCCGTCTACTCCGGTGGTTTTAAGTGCCACCTATTACCTAATGACTTCCAGATTTAAATATCCAGCTTACACCTTTTCTGCGCTCCAGTTCCCCTGTTTAACTGTGCATCCCATTTTGATGACCTGGGGCATCTCACATGAACATGCCCCTCACCTTCCCCTGCAAATCTGCTCCCCTGCCAGGCCTTGCCATCTGAGTCATTACACAGGGCAGGTATCTGGTGGCATCTTTGATTTTTGTCTTTCCAGGGAGCGCATGCATTGTGCAACTTCTGTGTTGGTTGAGATTGCCACTCCACTGGTCTGTGCCCACAGTAGGTGTGTGAGTGCTACGGGCATCTGGGATGAGTGCACAGGTGCAGCTGGGGTGACCACCAGAGCCTCCCAAGAAAGCTCAGGCTGCATGCAGGTGCTGACTGCTCCTGCTACCCACGTATCAGAGCGTGTATGTGTGAGTTTTACTTGGCCTTGTCTGTGGACATGTGGGGGAAAGGGGCAGAGGAATGTTATTTCACACTACTGTAAGCAAGTGTCCCCAAGCAGGTCTTGAAACTGCAGTTATTCTCAGATGACCAACCGTATTCTCCCAAGCGAAGGGGTGGCTTCCTCTGTGTCCTGGTGGGCAGATGAAGGGGACAGACTTCTTTGGGGTCTGACCCACCACATCAAGACCTTCCCCTGTCCTCCCGGCCCTTATGGTCCATCTTCCAGGCTGCTCCCATTCTGCTTCCTTCTGAGCCCTAGATGCCTCCCTGAGGTACTGGGCCAGGAGGATGGCTGGTGAATCCCTGAGAATCTTCCTTGAGTCTCCCTTCCCAGCTGGAGTCCCCCCCCATCCAGTGAACAGCTTGGTCTGTTGTGTGAGGGGACCCAGGAAGGGAGTCTTACCCCTTCCCCACCCCCTTTTTTGAGGCGTTGCCACAGTTTTGGGAATGGAGCCCTCTCCTGTGTCCTTGCCCACCCAGGTCAGCACCGCCTCTGGTAACCGGGAACTGATTCCCAGGGACACCCGCCACCCCCATCACCCAGTCTGGTTCTCTTGGCCAGAGCAGCGGTGCTGCGGCTACTCCAGCCGTCCCCTGGGGGGATGATAGCCGCCTCTCTCATGTCGGAGTCTTTCCTGCCCCTTCCAACACACACGCAATTCCACATGCTTCGGTCCCCTATGGGAAAAGCTGCTGGGGGACTCTTGTCAAGGATCAGGCCATGGCCACGCCCACCAACCTCACCAAACCCGATGTGTCTGCCTCCCCCAGAACCCCAGGAGGCAAGAGCTGGCCGCCTCGACCCTTGCAGAAATTGGGGCATCGCGGGGCCGGGGCGGCGCCCCCATAGACCCGGGCGAACCGGGGACAGACGGGGACCCCTGGCTTCCCCAGCGGTGGAGGGGGGGCATCCAAGGGCACCTGCCCAAGGCCACCCAGAGCGCGGCGGCCAGGGCGGCGGAGCGGAGCCGGACCTCCCAGCCGTCGGAGGGGGCGGTGACCGCCCGGGGCCTTCCCACGGCTCGGCCTGCGCGTCACCGCGGGGGCGAGGGGGCGCCGGGGCGCCGGGGGCTGCGGCGCGAGAGAGGGAGAGGGCCCTGGGAAAGGGCGGCGGGGCCGGGGCGGGGCCGGGGCCGGGGCCGGGGCGGGGCCCAGCTTCCCGGCCGGGAGCCCGCACCGTCCCGCGGAGACCCAGAGCCTGCGCTCGCCATGAAGCGGCCCAGGGAGCCCAGCGGCTCTGACAGCGAGTCCGACGGACCCATCGACGTGGGCCGCGAGGGCGAGCTGAGGTGAGGGCGGGGACGGGTACCGGGAGTGCCCGGACGGGTTCAGGGGGGCCGGGGACTAGTCCTCCCCAGGGCCTCAGGAGATGCAGGTGTGGGCGACGGCCCGCAGGTGTGTGTGGGTGGGGGTGGGAGGGGGCGAGTGGGGGGCGCGTGGGCAGCGTGGGCCACCACTCGCACGAGAGCCTGGATCCTCTGCGCCCTGGGCCACTTAGGCTCAGGGGCCCGGGATGGAAGTGGAGTTCAGCTCTGGGGTCTCACTCCCAGTTGGTGACCGTCTTTCTATAGATGAGCCAGGTGGAGGCTATTGGGGAGGAGTTTTCCCTGAAGATCTTAGGAAACCCCCTGTCCGGAATCCGCTGAGAAAGCGGAATAGCCATACTTTCTCTGTTCTACCCTAGCTTGGGTGCACTGTCCATGGAGTACACAAAAGGGGGAAGAAAAACCTCCCCTCCCTTGAGCCAACTGGACTTTGGAATTAAGGTTTTGGTACCAAAGAAAATAATAGCTGACTTGTCAGTGCAGGGGCCTAGACTCCAATTCCAACACTCTTTCTAAGGCACACCCTGCTGCCAGCGTCTTTCAGCTCTTGGTAAATAATTCGACTTGCTTCAAGCCTGTACAACAAACTCCGCTGGTACAGTTCTGCTACTTCACCCAGTTCTGTGAGCAATCTAAGCGTCACTTTCCTCATCGGTGAAATGGGCATAAATAACAGAACTGAACTCATAGGTTTATTGGGAAAATCTAATAAGATGATGTATGTCACGGGGTTAGCACATAGCAAATGTTTAATTCATGTCAGGCACCCAACATGTGATACCCAGAGCCCTGAAAGAGCAGCAAGGACTGAGTGGGAGTCTGCAGGGCTGAGTCCCAGCCCTAAATCTGCCGGCAACTCACCATGTAAGCATTGGGACATTGCTTTCTCTTTCAGAGCCCGTTTCCTCATCAATAAAACAAAAGGAGGACATGGAGTGGGAAAGACAGGGGGCTATCTGATCTCCCTGGTTCATCCAAACCTGACTCTCCAGAACAGATTTGAAAGGGGGATTCAGCTCATTCTTAGGGATGTTTTTGAGGAGATTTCATAATTTCAATGACTCCAGTTTTCTGAGACCAGGAGGAGATCCTACCTCAATCACAAATCCTAGTAAAATGCCACCAGCTTCCAAGTATTTATAGCTTATAACAGGAGATGAGGTAATAGGTATCCCCCCTGCATCTTGTACACTAATTAGTTTTGGGGGTATATAATACAACTCCCCATGCAACTTATTAGCATTCTTAAATGGTTTAGCAGAAACTACTATTTAGAGAGGCAATTCTCTGAGTCTGAGCCTGCTAGGAGCAGGGGAAGCACCTAGCACCACGTGCTGGTGGTGGAAGGGGGCTCTCAAATTCAATGTCATTGGGTCTTCATGAATCAGAGGCACAAAACTGATGCCAGAGAGCTGGCTCTGTCTTCCAAGAATTTGCAGTTCAGTCAGTGACCCGCCAGGTCAAAGACCATGGCAAAGGATGGAAGATGGAAGGGGAGACAGATTGTGGGCTGGTGAGGGCACCGAAGCAGGGAGAGGTCACTTACAACCAAAGGCATCAGGGAGGGCTTCTTGAAGGTGGTGGCATTTGGGCAATGGCATAAAGGATCAGTGGGCAGATTTTTCCCATACAGCATTTTGTCCTTTTAGCCGAGCCCATTTTTAGAGACTGTCTAGATTCTTAGAGGAGCAGACCCTCTCAGAGCAGAGAAAGCCGTTGGACATCTGGCAGAGGCTGACTTATAGACCCCTCTTTGTAGCACTCACCAAAGGGCCCTCCCCCCCAGCAGACATCAATGCTTCAATTCAGGGTGTGCTGAACGATGCCTGCTGTGGCCCAGACCCTGGGCTGGGTGTGGGGGGCCCAGATGTATCCTGCTAAGCCTCTGCCCTCAGGGAACTCTCAGAGAAGAAGAGCTTCATGTACAAAGAAAGCCAGATAAACAGTGGCAAGGGCCACAGGACTGGGGCAGCCGGCCTCCCTGGGGTCAGAGGCAGGGCGCAAATCCCCCACACTCAGAGATGTGAGAATAAGGAGCAGGGCATGTTCCATTGTCACTGTGGGCATCTGCCCGGTGGTGGCATCTTGGCCCATATGAGAAAATCACCCACGGATCTCCTATCTGAACCCAGCCCCCCTCTGACACATGCTGGGTCCCAACTGAGAGTACAGCCTCTCTCTCCCCTCCCCTTCTGTGAACATTCAGTGAACACCTGTCATGTGTCAGGCACTGGGTGGAGATCTGTGGGTCTTTCCTACAGGATTTAAGGCACATGGTGGCCTTTGAAGTCAGATAGACCTGAGTTTGAGTCTCACTACCATTAACTTGGGCATTTCTGAACTTGAGTTTTCTCCCTTATAAAACAAGGATGCTAATACCTACCTCACAGAGTGAGCCTTCCATGAGGAAATAAATGTACCTAAAGTGCACAGCTCCCTGATGTAGCCCAAGGTAACTTCTAACAAGTGCTGCTCTTGAAGGGGTCACCATTCAGTGGGAGGGTGTCATGGTCACAAGGCAGCATGGTCTAATGAAAAGACTAGAAGCCCAAAGACTTGACTTGCTGGGCACGATTCTTAACTCTTTGTGTCTCTGTCACTCCATCTATCAAATGATTATTTTTTCCTAATGTGAAATAGCCTCAATAATACTTAATTCACAGGGCCGTTGTGCAATAAAGGAGACAAGTAAATGTGGAAGTACTGTCTAGAACAAGGAGTACTGGCTATGTGACGATTTGGGGTGCACTGGGAAGAGCACTGGATTAAAAGTCCGTAGACTTGGCTCCAGTTCTGGAATTTCCTCTAATTTGCTGTGTGGCCTGGAACAGACCCTTCCCCTCTCAGTTTCTTTATTTTACAAATGGGCTCAGCACTCCTGAAAACCCTTCATTGGGAATACCATGATTTTGTCTTTGGTTCATGCAAAATGAGTGGGGTCATCTGCAAGGGTTCCATGGGGGGAGTCCTTAAGGGGGAGCCTGAGGATGAGTGCTGAGAGCAGTCAGGACTGGCAGCCAGACCACCTAGAAAGCTGCCTCCCCCCAGAGAGACCTCCCCAGAAATCTGGCTAGGGACCACTCGAAGCCCATTGGGCAGATCTTGGTGGTCGGCATATCTTCTCTGGGTCCGTGAAGATGTGCCTTATTTTCAGACTCTCAGACAAGAAGCTCTCACACCTCCCCCCAGTGTCAGGGCCAGATCACAGCCTGGAAGTGAGCTCTGGTTGAGCTCTTGGGAGCTTTAAGGATAAGGGGACTGGAGGGCTATTCAGACAGACAGGAAATAGGAATTAGGAGGGAAAACAATGCTGAATTTGGAGCCAGAAGACATGGATTCCCATGCCTGCTTTGCTCCTCAGCAGCTGCGTAGGCTGGGCAAGCTGCCTTGAGTCTCCAAGCCTCAGCATCCTCATCTGTAAAATGGGGTTTTTGTTAGGCTCGGAGGAAGGAAATATACGCAGCAATGCCAAGACAACAATGGAATGAGGTTTGCCTGTGAGATATGGGAGTCAGAAAAGAGGGATAATAGTGCAGTGCAGAGAACAAGTGACCAGAAGAATGGAAAAAGGGATAGCAAAGCCACCATGCCCTGCAAGGGGTGCGTCAGCCTCCAACAGATAGTCCCCGAGGAGGGATCAGGCTGAGGGGCAGTGACGTGCGCAGTGCTAACCCAATACCCCTAGAGACTCCTTATCCAGCCCAGGGGGACAAAGGCCATGTTTTAGTATCCCTTGGCTCTTGGGGCTTGTCCTGAGTGTAGCTTTGTAAACAAGCTGCCCTACAGATCTCAGGATCTGGCCATCTGAGCCCTGGGCCTAGCTCGCTGCACCATCCCTCTCAGGAGCTTCATAGGCCTCTTAACAGTCCTTCTCATCCAGATGTTTGGAAGGAGATATCCCTTTCCAGATGTAGCTGGACAAATCCAGGGACATAGCAGTGGGATTTGATCACTGTTGATGTGGACTCTCCGGTAACCTTCTCTCTCTCTTTGAGCAGTTAGTGAAAATGATCTAACCTCTCATGCCAAGAGGGTAGTCACATGGGCTGGGACCCTCCTGGTGAGCCACAGAGGCTCCCATTCCACAAAGGCCTAGGAGGTAGGAGGTAGCTTTTGTGGTGTCACTTCTCTGTTTCTCAGTGATACCAAAGATGGGACAGGAGAAGGGAGCTCAACATGGGCCCTGCTGTGCTCCAAGCACTTGCTGGGTGCTGGGGCTACAGTGGTAAATGAGACAGACATGGTTCGTGACCTCAGGGAACTCACACACTTGGTGGAGAGAGAGACATTAGTCAAATAATCATATAAATAAAAACAAAAATATAAAGATAAAACAACAAATGGGTATACATGCTATGAACACAGGATGCTAGGAGAGGGTAGAGCAGAGGCTATCTAGTGGGAGGGGGAATGTCAGAGAAGGCCCCCCTAGGAAGATGACAGTTGAGTTGAGATCTGTACGGTGGTAGAAAGTACTAGGCAAAGAGGCTGAGACTAGGTGGGTAGACAGGCTGCACCAGAGAATTCTAGGCGAGGGAAATAGTATGTGCAACCACATGAAGAACTTAGTGTATTCATAGGCTGGAGCACAAAGAGCAAAGGTGATTGGAGTCTAGGAGGTGACAGGAGCCAGCTGGGCCACCTGAATGATGGCGGCCTTGATCCTTTTTTTTTTTTTTTTAATTTTTATTTTTTCATGATAGTCACACACACAGAGAGAGAGAGAGGCAGAGACACAGGCAGAGGGAGAAGCAGGCTCCATGCACCGGGAGCCCGACGTGGGACTCGATCCCGGGTCTCCAGGATCACGCCCTGGGCCAAAGGCAGGCGCCAAACCGCTGTGCCACCCAGGGATCCCGGCGGCCTTGATCCTTAAAGCATGGGGAAGGCCCTAGGGAGTTTTAAGAGATGGACAAAATCAGATGTGCGCATTTAAATGATCACTGTGCCTGTTTGTAGGGGTTTGGGAAAGGGGTGCAAAGGGACCCAGCAATAGACTCTTGCAGCTGTCCAGGTGAGAGATGATAGAGGTTTAGTCCTCTGGGCAGCAGTGGAAATAAGCAGGACAGAGGTGAGATGTATCTTAGACATGGAATGGGCGCGTCTGGATGAGGTGGGTGAGGACAGAAGAGGACCCAAAAGTAGTGGTAGCCAGGTGGCCCCGCGGAACTGAGAGAAGGAATGCTTTGGCTGAGATGCGGGCCCAGGGGAGAGACCAGGGGTGGCAGTGGAGGCGGAGGCAAGCTCATGGGTCCCTGTTCAGATGTGTGGCATCTTGCATTCTGAAGCAGCAGGGGAGTCTTGTCTAAAGTTATTTGTTGGTAGGGCATGGCCCCCTGGGAGCTGTGTGGACGGCTGGGGCCTGGCTGCCGCCTACAGTCCAGCCCTGGAGCGGGGCGGGGGCCTCCGGGGTGCTGGCCGGGTGAATGGCCCTCAGTGCCACCCCGCGAATCCCCTCCACTCCGGGAGAACCTCTGAAGCAGGAACCGTTAGCGGGGCGAGGCCTGGGCTGGAGATTTCATTCCGGTCAGTCTGGGCAGGAACAAACCCGGGGGCCAGACCGGCGGGGGGGTGGGGGAGGCCCGCGGTGCGGGGCTGGGGCCTGGGGGGCCGGGGCGGCGGCCCGAGGGTCAGAGGGGGCCTGTGACCCAGATGCGCCCCCCCCTCCCCCCGCCGGGCCGCGCTGCGTGGGAGGAGGCGGCAGCTGCCGGCGGGGCGGAGGGCGGCTTCGGGCGCGCCCGGCCCGTGGGAAGCGGCGGCATCTGCTCTTTCCACGCTCTTCCCAGCGGCTCCCTCTGAAACCCAACCCGCCGGCCCGGCCCCGCCGCCGCCGCCGCCCGTGCCCTCGCCCGCCCCGCCCGGATCGGGTTGCAGGAGCGCGGCCGGCTGCGGTTCCCCGACGCCCGCGGCGAGGGGCAGGGGCAGGGGGCGGGGGGTGGGGGGGTGGGCGGCGAGGGACAGGGGCGGGGTGGGAGGGCGAGGGGCAAGGGGCAGGGGTGAGGGCCGGCAGGCCAAGAGCCCAGCCCACCCCACCCTGCTGCCCCAGCCGCTGCGCGATCCTGGGGTGGGACACTGAGTGCAGGGGAGACTTAGAGGGGGGAGCGATGGGCCCCCACCCACACCTGCCCTGCGCTGCTTCCCTGCCTGGGAGCCTGGGAGTCCTCCGCAGCCCCATGGCCCTGGGCGTGCCCAAGAGGGGACTGTGCCCGCCCACATCCCAGTGTCCTCCAAGGTCAGCCCAGGCCAAGGAGATGGTCCCTGAGCTCTGAAAAATCAGCCTTTCTCTTCTTCTGCAGCCAGATGGCCAGGCCGCTATCCACCCCCAGCCCTTCACAGATGCAAGCCAGGAAGAAACGCAGAGGGGTGAGTGTTCCAGCAGAGCTGCCCAACGGATCTTTGCCCTGAGTCCCCAGAGCCCTGGCCTAGAGAACCCTGGTCAGAAACATCACCCCCAACTAGACTGCCCGAGTGCAAATCCTGACTCCGCCAGTGGCCAGCAGAAAGACTTGGCACAAGTCCCTTAACCTTTCTGTGCCTCATTTCTTCAACTGTGTACCTGAACCAATGAGCGTGCCTACCTCACAGGGCTGTTTTGAAGATTAAATGAATTAATGTAATACACTCAGGACAATACCTGACACACAGCCCTTTCCCCTCATCTCTCCCAGTGAGCCCAGAACTTACATTTCCTCTGGGGTGTGCTGCGGGATGGAGGAAGGGGTCAGAAGAAAGCAGTTTCCCAGCTGGGTCTTGGCCACCTCATCCCAGTGCCACCTCTGCCCCCAGGATGCCACTGTGCTTCTGCCCTGGGCGTCCAAAGACCTGGAATGTGGCAGACACCAGCCCTGCCCCTCACTTAGACAAACCACTTCCTTCCAGCTCCCGTCTTTATCTGTAAAAATGGGGGGGTCATAACGTCTGCCCTGCTATCAGCATTCTGCTCCTAGTAGGTGAGGTGAGAATGAGGTCGTGTGAATGAGAGGCCTTCCCGGCTGGAAGCAATGCCTCTTCCCGACCCAGCCACTGAAGGGGTCTTCTTGGCCTGCAGGCGTCTCCAGGGCCTGCAGGGCTATGACCAGTGTCCCTGTTCTTTTTTTTTTTTTTTAATAATTTTTTTAAAGATTTTATTTATTTATTCATGAGAGACACACACAGAGAGAAAGAGGCAGAGACACAGGCAGAGGGAGAAGCAGGCTCCATGGGTCTCCAGGGTCACACCCTGGGCTGAAGGCAGCGCTAAACCGCTGAGCCACCCGGGCTGCCCCAGTGTCCCTGTTCTCATTGCTCAGTCCCCTGCTTGTACCTGTGGCTAATCATTTGGAATGTCACTCCTACAGACCAAGACAAGAGATCCGAATTCCACCCCCAGCTTTGTGCCTCCCTGCTGTGTGTGACCCTAATTGAGCAAGTCACCACCCCTCTCTGAGCCTCAGTGTCCTCCTCCATAAAGTCAGAACAGATTTCTCTCCCTCACAAAAATATGATGAGGGAAGGTATGAGTCAGTGTCCATCAAAGCCCATTGGAAGCTGGCGAAGAGCCCGCGAGTAAATTCCTGTCGTGTGTTGCAGATCATAGAGAAGCGGCGCCGGGACCGCATCAACAGCAGCCTTTCTGAGTTGCGGCGCTTGGTCCCCACCGCCTTTGAGAAACAGGTATGTGACATTCCTGACCACACTGGAGGAAACTCCGTGCAGGTGGCAGATAAGGTCCATTCTGCGTGGCGGGGTGTATTGATTGGGAGCAGCTGCCTGAAGTGCTGGTGCCCCGTTTGCTGATACCCGTCACTGGCTAGGGAGAAAGGGAATGGAAAGTGGTGTTTACCCTGGTGTCTCACATGTGGTGGCTTTAGGTCCATCATCCCACGGAAAAGAACTCTCAAAATGATCCCATGGGATGATCATGCCTGTTGCCCAAGTAAGGAAATTGAGCGTGGCCCAGCCGTGGCCTAGGCCTGGTACCTGCCCTCAGGAGCTCGTGTCGAGAGTCTGACTCAGGTTTCACCTGCGAGACCAGGGTGCTAGAGGCATAGCAGACTTTGCTCAAGAGAGAGAATAGAGGAAGAGCAAGTGCTTTGGGGCTAAGACGATGAGCTAGATCTTGGGTGTGGTGAGTGTGCGGTCGGATTCCCAGGAAAGCTGGTCTAGGAGGTGGTGGGTACGCAGAGTGGCATTCTGGTGATGGTACACGGAAGCCACGGAGGTAGCTGAGACCTCCCGGGGAGAATGTGCCGAGTGAGGAAAGGGAGCCAGCACCCACTGGGGAGCAGCCCCATTTTAAGGGACAGGCAAAGCAAGGTGAATGAAGAAGCCAGAAAAAGCGGTGTCGTGGAAGTCCAGGGAAGGAGGGGTTTCGGGGAAGGATGCTCAGCAGTGCGGTGGGCATGCAGACTAAAATGGGAGCGAAGAGAATCTGTTTGTTTGGGAGATGTTGGCCGAAGCAGAAGCCCAACTGCAGGCAGTGGTGGGGTGGGAGGAAGATGGGGACATTGAGGCTATAAGGGCTGATGACACCACAGGGAGGTGAGTGAGAGGCCCGCTGGAGGCCTTCACTCTCTGTCTTCTGTACACACAGGGCTCCTCTAAGCTGGAGAAGGCCGAGGTCCTGCAGATGACAGTGGATCACTTGAAAATGCTTCATGCCACTGGTGGGACAGGTACCGATGCTCTTCTCTCCCAGGAGTCATTCATGAAACAAATATTTGGGGGCGAGGCCCTGCGGGGCCACTAGTGAGCAAAGTAGCCGTGGTCCCTGCCCTCCCAGAGCCTACGGTCTGTGGTGGGGCTGGTGCAGGGCCCAGGTGCAGCAGTCACATAGCTTGTCTCCTCTCTCAGCATTGCCCTCTCCACTGGCAGTGTCCCCATTGGTCCCAACCATGTCCTCAACTCCGCTCCTTCTAGCTTTAGCCCTTGGAGGAGCTCTGTCCCTGTGTGGGGTCCCCCACCTTAGTCCCCACCCTCCTCAAGCATTAGCCTGAATGAACTCATTCTCACTGGGATCCCCGTTGAAACCCTGGGAGGGGCCTGCCTGAGTTGTTTAGCCACAGCTGTCCAGTGGTGTGCCGTCTGAGCTGGTGCTGGGGTCGTACTGGGTCCTGAGCAGCGCTGGGATCACGTGTCGTGCTCACGGTTGAAGATCTGTGGTGGGATCGCAGTAGAACACAAATGTTAACTCGTGCCATTATTTTGAGCTGGTCTGTTATAGCGAAGTCATGAAACTATGGCTTTAAAAAGACTTCGGGACAGATGGAAATTCTGTGTACGTGGAGCCTCGCTGTATATTTTGGTGATTTCACAATTGAGAAATCTTGAAAGCGCCACAGACCTAGGCCACAAAGACCAAAGTCCTGAAACCTTAACTTGGCCACCTTTGGAGGGGGCAGGTGCATTTCAAGTGACCCAGCCTGGTGCCTCTCAGGCTTCAGTGAACCGCAGTATCGTCCGGGGACAGACAGCCCTGGGGCGCACCCCAGAGATTCTGAGCCAGGAGGCCTGGCCTGGAGGTTAGGAATTTGCAAGTTTAGCAAGCACGCCCGATGACCCTGATGCAGGTGGTCACTTTGAGAACTTCTGCCAAAGGAATGCATGGCCAACAGTGAAAACTTCTGATTCTAATCAACCAGCGGGAGAGATCTTTCCAACTGCATGTACGGTTATCCGGTTCAAAGAAAAATAGTGACTAATATTTTGGCCAGCATTTTATAGTTTCAAAGTGCTTCCACCAATGTTATCTCATCTGATTCTGACAAGAATCTCGAGGCTGGGGGTTGTTGGCATCACCCTTCTCTTGCCAAGAGCTAATGGGAGGACAGGCCTGTGGCTTAGAGCACCGGCTTTGGGTTAGAATCCTGAATTGAATTGATTCGAATCCCATGAATTGTGGATTTGGTTCTATTACTTGCTAGCTTTGTGGCCTTTGACAAAGGATTTAACTTCTCTATGCCTCAGTGTTCTCATCTCTGAAATGGGAATAATGATAAGATTATTTTCCTGAGAATTAAATCAGATCATGCAAATTGAGTACCTCTTAGGAACTCAGAAAACATTTATTGGAAAAGAATAGCAAACGCAAAAACTGAAGGGATTTATTCCAAGTCGTGTAGCTAAGTATTCAGCAGAGTGAGGCCTTGCCTGTCTCTCTGTGGGAGCTTCAGCCATGAACCAGGGACCAGATATTTGCTGCCAGAGTCATGAGGCCAGTGCCCATGGAGGCTGTTCTGTCTTTTTTATTTTTTTAAGATTTTATTTATTTATTCATGCGAGACACATAGAGAGAGGCAGAGACACCGGCAGAGGGAGAAGCGGGCTCCCTGTGGGGAGCCCAATTTGGGACTCAATCCCGGGACCCCAGGATCCGGACCTGAGCCAAAGGCAGACACTCAACCACTGAGCCACCCAGGTGCTCCCTATTCTGTCTTTGCACAAAAGGTGGTTTTGGAGAGGGGAGGTGGAAAGGCAGCAAGAACGAAATACCTCAGTGGACAATCCATCGGGTCAGACCTCACTGATACCAAACTGAGGAGCCCAGCCTGATGGCGGCAGCTGGGGACCAGAGTGGGGTCCTGCTTTCCTGACTGCCCTCAGGCTAGCGGACAAACTCAGATGCCAACAGGAGCCACACCAGTAGTATGCGGTTGACCCTTGAACAACACAGATTTGAATAGTGCCAGTCTGCTTACACGCAGTTTTTGACCTAAGTGGAAACATTTTTGGAGATTTGCAACTGTTTGAAAAAAAAATTGCTGGGATGCCTGGGTGGCTCAGCAGTTGGGCATCTGACTTCGGCTCAGGGTGTGATCCCAGGATCCGGGATCAAGTCCCACATCGATATTACTATATCAGAACTTCCTCACACAAACACTTACAGACCACACATGGTGCCAATTGCAGTGGAGAGAAGTGTAAATGGAGAGATGCAGTCTAATCCTAACGGCCTAAAGTTAACCGTAGGCTATACCTACTGTACTATAGTGATAATTTCCTAGCCCCCTCCTGATGCTATTGGGGTGAGCTCGGGTGCTGCGAGTATCTGCTTAAGACGCTGTGTGGCCCTCCTCATCTCCCCCTGAGCCCTTTGTCTCCCCAGTAAATTGCTATCACAGTAAAAAGTGATCTCTGGTGGTTCTCACTACTAGTTTTTTGGGGAGGAGTCAAAAATTTCCTCGGTTTTCAATTGCGCTGGGGGAGGATCGGTGCCCCCAGCCCCCATGTTGTTCAAGGGTCAGGTGTAAATGATGGCTAACCTTGAGTTCATGGACTATTTCTGGGCACCGTTGCATTCAATCTCACTCTCACTGCCCTGGTGCAACCATCATTACCATATGCCCATCTGACAGTCAGGGAAATTGAGGCTTCGAGATGTGTCCACGGTTGGGCAGCTGGTTAGGTGGCAGGGCTGGGATTTGAACTCAGCTCTCCTGGCCTCCAGAGACCTCAGGCTTCAATGTGACACTGTGTCGCCTTCTCTGAGGAGAGCCCCGGCTCTGATGGCTCTGGTGGCTGAAGCTGCCACCTCCCAGCATCCACCCCCGCCAGCAGGCAGGGTTGCTCTACACTTCCGCAGGCACAGGCCTTTCACACCTGGCAAGCGTCCGCTTAAATGACATCTTGGTCGGCAAGTTTTTCTCTGCATTGATCATGAATTTCGATGAAAACGATACTCTAGATTTGATCATGCCTCGGAGTTCAGGGAATTCATTTGATCCTCACTACGCACCCCCTCTAGCCCAGGTAGGGGTGACTATTCCCACTTTACAGATGTGGAGACTGGGGCTCAGAGAGATGAGGTGGGTGGCATGCCCAAGGCCACATGGGTGTGACCCCAGGATCAGCACTTGCCCCCCACCTGGCAGGCCCTCATCACGCCTCGCTTTGCAGGATTCTTTGATGCCCGGGCCCTGGCGGTGGACTTCCGGAGCATCGGTTTTCGGGAGTGCCTCACCGAGGTCATCAGGTACCTGGGGGTCCTGGAAGGGCCAAGCAGCCGTGCAGACCCCGTCCGGATTCGTCTTCTCTCACATCTCAACAGCTACGCAGCCGAGATGGAGCCTGCTCCCACGCCCACTGGCCCCCTGGCCTTCCCTGCCTGGCCCTGGTCCTTCTTCCATAGCTGTCCTGGGCTGTCAGCCCCGAGCAACCAGCTCACCATCCTGGGAAGAGTGCCCGGTCCCATCCTCCCCAGCGCTTCCTCTCTGGCTTACCCCATCCCAGCGCTCCGAACCCCTCCTGTGCGCAGAGCCGCGGGCGCCGTCCTGCCAGCCCGGAGGAATTTGCTGCCCAGTCGAGGGGCATCTTCCACGAGGAGGGCCCGCCCCCTTGATAGGCCAGCTGCCCCCCTGCCCGTGGCACCCAGCATCAGGGCTGCCAGGAGCAACCACGTGGCACCTCTCCTACGATCTTCTTCCCCCGTGCCCCCTGGCATCGTGGGGTCCCCCACTTATGTGGCCGTTCCTGCTGCCAGGCCCTCTTCCCCAGGGGCAGCTGGGAGGCCAGGAGTGCTCTGCCCCTCCTGGGTCTCCGAAATCACTGAAATCGGGGCTTTCTGAGCTGGTTTCTCCCCAGGCGTGAGGAGGGTTCTTTTTCCAGGAGCTCTAAAAACAAGTGCTGTCTCCTGCCCTGCTGCCTGGCCTGGCTCACCTATCTGTGAAGGCATCTTCCTCACCCATCAGAGGCCCCTTTCCCCTCGGCCCATCTCCCCTCCTGGTTGCCTGGCCCGGCTTGTCGACCCAGCTCTCCTGGAGCTCTTCCGATCTCTGAAGCCTGGTCTCATTCCTTTCTTGGGACAAACAAGTCCTAGGAGAGCCCCCACAAGCTTTGCCCAGACTCTCTCCTGCCCCTGCATATGGGGGGCAGCAGGCATGAACCTAAGGACTGGGAACAGGCTAGGCAGGCTGCTTGCCTCGAGAGCTCAGAACCCAGCCTGGGCGGTGATTGACTGGTGCAGCCTTCCCAGGCCCCCAGGGCCTGAACCTAGTGTCTGCCTCACTTCCGGAGACAGCAACCAGGCAGGGGCCGCAGAGCAGTCTCTGGGGAACCCTGTCTGCCCCTGCCCACCCCATGGCAGCGAACCACAGGACAGGCCCCCGCTGTGTACCACACCCAAGGCCCGGGGTTAGGGGCCCAGGAGGGCCTGCTTGGGCCATCTTCTTCACTGCAGACACCTACCCTCCAGCTGACGCACAGTTCCCTGCATAGAGACAGGAGGTTTCCGGGCAGCAATTAGGCTCTAACACAGGGCGTCCTTAACCACTGGGCCTGAGACGGTGCTCCCGGACAAGAGCCAGGATTGAGCAGAGAACCCAGCTCCCTGCCTCTCGCACCGTCGCCATCCTCCAGATGCACGGTCCCTGTTTGGGTGCACGGCGCGGAGGGTCAGGTTCCCATGTGATGGCGCCCCGAGAGGAGCCCCCTTGGGACTCAGCCCCAGACGTCTGTGCTGCCTGGTTTCCATCCGGCTCACAGAGCCCAGACTGTGGGACAGCCAAGGGCTGTCCGGCTGGACAAAAATAACCGCAAGGAGGGGCGAGAGGAAGGACAGTCAGAGGCGGCTCTCGGTCCTTCAAGGTCACATGGTGGGTCAAGGGCCTGAGATCCTGTTCCTCCAGGATGCCAAGCAGCCGGCTCCACTTGGAGGCCGTTTCGTGACCCGGGCCCTGGCCGCTTCTCCTCTAGCGGAGGGAACAAATGGTGGCCTGGCGACCATTCCCAGTGGGACAGCGGAGACTGGACAAGATTGGGGCAGACCCGGGACTGACGTTCAGCTGGACCAGTGTTGCCAGACCAGTTGTTAAAATGTAGAACCACTTTTGCGCTTGTTGGCAAATATCTGCTTCTCTTGAGCACCTCTAAGGCCCCCCCCACCCCGTGTGGCTTCCTCCCGGGACCCTGTGCTGATTGATGACCGCTGGGCCGACCCGAGGCCGTGGCATCCTCCAGCTGGCAATTCCTCGGTGCTTATTCGCGCTGGTTATTAAATACTTCTTTCGAATGTCACCCCTGGGAAGGTGCTTTCAGCCCTGCCCTTTGATGGAACTACCCTCCCCGGAGACTAAATTGAGGAGGAGGTCCTTGGGCTCAGAAATAGAATTTGCGAAAACCCTAAGGGGAAAGGGCCTTTTTTGGAGAAATGGGGCAGAGGGCAGAGATCACTTAAATGACCCAGAAATCTCTTTTGAAAAGGCAAATTCCTCCAGGAGGCATGAAGAGCTAGTGTATCCTTTGCACAGTGTTTGTTCGATCAGATTTCTGTTCTCCCGGAAGCATCTGAGATGTGCAGCAGCGGGGAGAGAGGGCATCATTTCAGGGAGTGGGTCCCCGGCCACAAGTGCTCCTGGGGCAGGCGGACAGGGAGGGCAGGGCAAGTCAGCAGGCCCCCAGGGGTTGGCAGAGGAGGTGGCACGAAGCAGAGCCTGACCAGTTTGGCAACTTCACAGGCTGAGAATATGGGAAACCCATATCCATGTTTCTAGGACCCAATTCCAGAAGAATCTGTTGACCCCCACTGAACGAGGTGGAAATGGACCGGAACTTTCAGCATCTGAGTTGATCTTGGGTTCATTCTCCCCAAGAGATGGTGGTGGGGGTCGGGGGTGGGGGGTGATGACATATTTGTTTTTGTGGTTGAGGACTTGTGTATCCTTTGTTTCTATTCCCAAGCCTTTCTGGTGTCCCCGACTCCTACCCCCTTTCTGGGGCTGTAGCAGGCATCCAATAAAGTTGTTTTAGTTCTTCTAAAAACCTCTGGAAGATTCTACTTCTTAATATCTCTGGAGTCCATCCACTTCTCTTTGAACTCACGCCTATCACCGTGGTCTGGCCACTGCCCCTGCCCCCAGATCACTGCCCTCCACAAGGTCACCTTGCTTCCCTCTTGCTTCGTCACTCAGTTCTCAAGGCAACAAGGGAGCGCTTTAGACAGACCAATCATATCACATCAACTCTGGTATGAGAACCCTTTTTCATTACCCTTCTTCTGCATTACCCTATTATTCCAAATAAACCCTTCCTCTATTACCCTATTATTCCAAAGATTTAAAAAATCCAAGCTCTTCCTCTTCTGGTCCCAATCTGACTTCCAGCCAATTCCAATCTTGTCCTCTGTGCTTCTGCCACCCTGGCTTTCTTTCATTTCCTCAACATTCCAACCTGTTCCCACCCCCAGGACTTGGCATACACTGTTCCCTTGCCCAGATGCCCTTCTTCTACCTTTTGCATGGTTGAGCTCTTTACCCTCAAGCCTGGGCTTAAACTCGCCTCCTCAGAGAAGGCTTCCTTGACTACTGTGCTTGAATAGTTAGTTCATCTGTTCCCAAAGTCCCTTATTCTTTCCCCCCATAAGGCACTTGCCATTGCACATCCCATTTGTTTACTTCTTGGCCAACTGTCTCCCACACCAGCATATAAGCCCTGTGAGGCCAGAGACCATGTATGGTTTACTTTCCACCCGTGCCCAGTGACAAGCACAGTACCTGGCTCTAAGTTGGTGTTCGATAAATATTTGTTGAATAAATGAACTGGGGAGGTGAGGAATCTTCCAGACTCAAGCTGCTGGGTGGTGCAGGCCTTCTAGAGGTGAACCCCCCCACTGGCCGACTTTGGGGGCGAGGCTGGAGAGCAAAGTGAGAGACAGGGCCAAGGGACTGGAAGTTCTGGCAAATGGTGAGGAGTTCTGGCCAAAGCATACACTGGCAGCTGAGAGCAAGCAGCCGTCCCTGCCAGCAGGTATTGTTCACTCTTGCTCTGATGGATTTGGCTTGCAGTAAATCTAACAAACATTTGCAGAGGTCTGCTCTGTGCCACGCATGGTGGGGCAGAGGTGATGAGGACACTGGCGCCCTGAGGCCCTGTGCCCTCTGTCTAGTGACAGTTTGGTGAGGTGAGAATGGAGTGGGGCCTGTTGAATTTGTTGAGGCTGAGGGGACACAGAGGGGATGTCTGCTTCTGCCCAGGGTGGCCACAGGGGTAGGGACAGCTGGGAGGAAGGCTTCCTGAAGGAAGACCAGAGGAGGCAATCTACCAGCACAGGGAACATCTGTGCAAAGGCCTGGAGATGTCACAGGGCATGAGTTGGTTCTGAGTTGAGCACAGGCCTCCAGCGACAAAGGGGAGGTGGGCTAGCCTGAGCACTGAAGCCAGACTTCCTGGGTTCAGCCTGCACCTCTGTCACTTATCAGGGTTGTGGTCTGGGGCAAGTTACCTAACACCCCTAAACCTAAACTTCTTCATCCACAACCTAGGGATGGCACAGTAATGCTATTAACTGAGGGGTAACTATGTATCAGGCACAGTGGTAATGCTTTTCCTGGAATGTTCTCATTTTACAGATGAGACAACTAAGCTAAGACCCTGTACCCTAAATAACTCAAATGGGACAGCCCATGTAAAGCCCTCACTCAGCCCAGGGCTTGGGTCATGTGAAACACTCGGTCAATGATAGCCATTAGCATTGTTAATGGAAAGAGACCAGATCCCAAATGGGGAAAACCTGTGGGTGCCATGCGGAGATTGGGCTTTATTGAGCTTACAGGCAATGGAAGCCATGGAAGGTTTTGCCAGGTGAATGCCAAGGTAAATACCAAGGTCAGACCCATTTAAGAAAGTCAAGTCTTGCTTGGGGTAGTGACTAGGAAAAGGAGTTTCCAGACTCAAGTCTGCCTATTCATTGGAAACACTTAGATGCTTTTTACAAACATCAGTGCCCAGGTCCCAGAGATGATGATCCAACCAGTGTGCACCAGGGCCCAGATACCCCATAAGGAGGTGTGAAGACGACTTGGAATTTCTTTCCTAGTCGACATAAATTTCCATTCAGTAGGTGAATTGGACTCCAGTTTGTGAGCCTGAAAAGGACTTCTACTTTCCGAGAAGCAAAGCAAAAATTAATTTCCACAAGGGTGTCTCTGTCCTCCAGCCCCATCCTAGTCTCTGGCCCATGGTAGATGCATAAGAAACATTTGTGCAGAAAGCTTTAGGTTTTGCAATGCATTCAAGAGTCACTGAGTATTTTTTAACTTTGTGGAAAGTTATTAGTTTTTATTTTTCAAGATATTAGTTTTCTCCCCTTCTTCCTGGGGAAAGAAGGTAGGAAAAATCACATTTGGTTATCAGCTGATTCCATTAATAACAGTAAACATTTCTGAGCCCTTGACTTACATTATCTCATAGAATCTCCCCTGGAGCCCTGGGAGTAAGTACTCTTATTATCCTCATTTTGTAGAAGAGGAAATTGAGACTCAATTTGTTAGTAAAAGGCCCCAAAATGTATAATACGAATCAATGTTCTAGTCAAAATGAAAAGGAAGAGCTATCTAGTTCAGCCTTCACTGGTATAGCACACTGCTCCCTTCCCAAGCTGCCTCCTGTTACAGAGCCAAACATTCAGTGATCGGCCTTAAGGACTGGGGGGGTGGACTATTATGTTAGCCTAGGAAGCCTTCACCCCACCAGGCTTTTCTCCCCTGTGCTAGTGAGAGTAAGGATTGAAGGCTGTAACAAAGAGGCCCAGCAATAACTCAGTGGATGAAAGACAATAGAAGCTTATTTATTTCTTGTGTAACTGCCTGGTGAATATTCCAAGTGAGCCAGAAGCTCTGCTCAATGCAGACATTCTAGAACCCAGATTCCTTCCATCTTGATTCTCCACCATTCCCTAGGGCACTATGCCTACACAGTTGAAGCTAGGTCTCCATGGGTTCAAGCCAGGAGGAAGGGAACAAGAGCCTGGTATAGGCATGACCAGTCTCAAAACCTAGACCCAGGAGTAGCATGTGTACATCCATCTACTTTCTGTTGGTGAGAACTTTGATGGTTGGCCACATCAAACTGCAAAGGAGGCTGGGAAATGCATTTTAGCCCTGTTTTCTGCAATAGGGCTGATTGGATGCTGACAGACAGTCTCTATCACCTGGACCTTACCTCCCAGGCTGGAGAATAAGGGCCATGGGGGTGGGTGGTGGTACCTCAGTGGCTGAGTTGGTTTAGCATCTGCCTTCCGTTCAGGTCATGAACTCAGGGTCCTAAGATTGAGCCCCACTTTGGGATTCCTGCTTAGTGGGGAGCCTACTTCTCCCTCTCTCTCTGCCACTCTCCCTGCTTATGTTCTCTTTTTCAAATAAATAAATAAAACCTTTGGAAAAACAAAAAAGAATCAGGGCCATTGGAAGCTACTGACTGCCGTGCGCATGATCTGGAGGTCAATTTACTCTGAGTTTAAAGAACCAGGTATAGATACTCCATCCACCATTCTCTGATTCCACAAGGGTAGGTTAGATACCCTCAAATGGAGTGTGTGTGCTGGGCCCAGGGCTCAGAGAACTCCCCTAGAAAACAGTGGAAGAGTAGAAGGGCTTGTTAGCAGTGGGCCCCAGCTGACCAGTGATCAGCGTCACCTGGAGGGACTGTGTGTCACACAGGGCCGTGAGGGCCTCCTTCCACCATCCTGGCTCCTCACTGGGGAGGAGGCACTGACTGATGTTGGCAGCTTCCCTGATCTGGACTGCCTGTCCTGCTTGCTTCTCTTCCCACTGTCTGGAGCTCTGGTGAAAGGCCAGGCCTCCCAGAGCTGTGGATCCTGTTTGTGGAAATTGAGTCTCATGAGTAGGGCTGCTGAGATGGCCTCATGAATTGCTTGACAGTGGTGGGTGAAAAGGGGCCAGGCTTTGGGTCTCCAAAGATGCCAACTCTCAGGACTTCTCTTTTTTTTTTTTTTAACTTGATGTCTGAGTAGAAAGAAGCAAGAGTGTCATTCAGCCCACGAATCCCAGGAAGCTGGCTGGCCAACCCATGCTGCACTGAGCCCAAGGGCATTTTATTTTATTTTATTTTATTTTATTTTATTTTATTTTATTTTATTTTATTTTATTTTATTTTATTTTTTTATTAATTATTTTATTTTATTTTATTATTTTATTATTTATTTTTTCCAAGGGCCATTTTAAACTCAGGGTTGGCTCAGCCCTTGGGGCAAGACCTGGATTGCCAGCTCTGCTCAAAGAAATCCAGCAGGTAGCACTCTAGCCCAGGCACCCAGATGCTCTGTTGGAGCCCCTGCAAAATAATGAACAACTCCAGCAACCCTAAAAGGAATCCGTCAACGAGAAGGAAAAGTAAGAATGTTCCATATGGAGCACACAGCATTTCAAGCGCCTTCAAAGGCATTACCTCACTCATGCCTCTCGACACAGTTTGGTCAGGGGAGCTAGGACAGGAGTTATTATCTCTGTCATACAGATGAGAAAGCTAGTCATGTTTCAGGTAAAATAATTTGCCCCCT